GGGGGATATAGTATTCACGACCGTCCGTACGTCTGTACATCTGTACGGCTGTCCGTACGTCCCACCTGTTTGTTGCCGCGATATCTCAAGAACTAAACACTGGATTGTCTTCATATTTCGAACTATGGTGTATATACAGACACCGCAGACACCAGTTGGTTTTGGTGACCTTGACCCCATTTTCAAGGTCACAGCAGGCAAATCTGCTTTTGGAGTTGGAAAACGGTGTTGCTGCGATATCTCAAGAACTAAACACTGGATTGTCTTCATATTTGGAACTATGGTGTATATACAGACACTGCATACACCAGTCGGTTTTGGTGACCTTGACCCCATTTTCAAGGTCACAGCAGGCAAATCTGTTTTTGGAGTTGGAAAACGGTGTTGCCGCAATATCTCAAGAACTAATCGCTGGATTGTTTTCATATTTGGTACTATGGTGTATATACAGGCAGGGGACATTTCGTCACTTTGTGACAAATTCTTGTCTAATTTGATTTATTTAGATCATGTTGATAGTCTTACTGTGAAATAAGATTTGAAATATTTGATGCACATATAACTGTTTATTACCCACGTGGTGAAGATACAGGTGGTAAGATACTAAATCTGTACGTCACACGTGTGTCGTACAAGGTTGACCATGTTTTATTCGTTTTGATTTGATAACTGTGACCTCTGTCAAACCGGGAATACTTTTTTCATTCATAAAAATTCACGAGATGTCATTCATTTTGCAACTACAAGGCAGAACTGAAGCAATCTCATGTGAGCGAGGGATATTAACAAACACTTTATTAAACCAAACAAGATAGTCACACGCATCAAATTCTGTTTGCATCCAATATAAGTTATGCATTGAGCTTCCACAGACATTATATAATCGAGCTATATCCATTTACAATGTACGACTCCCGTTCAATACATCGTGGCGCACCCGACTACTTTCCCAACTTCAAATTTGATTTAACGTAAGAGGATAAGCGTGGTGAAGTGAAGTCAGTTTAAACTATCTGGGCAGATATCTAGACTTACTTGGGATGATCCAGTTGTGCAATCTGTCCTCTTCAAAGCGTATTCTGTGGCAATGTTTCGGGAGTTGTTTGTTCATGACTGCACAGCCAGATCACTCAAAGTGAACACTTCCGATACAAATCATTCGAAAACTCGAAAAAAAATTATGTGGCCCAAATGCAAGCAGACTTGAGCGTGTTGATTTTCACATCTTCAGTAAAGGGTGGTACAGTAAACATGAATGTCTTTGGCGAACACTCTGATTTCCCTCTTTCTAAATGGTACGGACATGATATAAATTCAGCTGATAGATCAAGGATACCGAACCATTTTGAATGCACAGACGGGACCCCGGCAGTGCGAGTGACCAACAGTTGGTCCGATAATCAAAGCGCGGCGCTAATGTGACTTTTCAAATTTTCTTAAAGGTGTCCTGCGTACTAACAACATGGTGCTTGAATTCTCATAAGTTGAAGAAATTCTTCCAAAAGGATCTTGAGCATTGGTGCTGTTTTGTTTCAAACACAACTGCAGGCGCATGTTGTTATTGTATATGCATAGGAATGTCAACAATGCCCATATTTTGGCATATATCAATATTCATGCACAACCAGATTTTGCAACCGGTTTCAGTTTGGTCTGTCAACGAACAAAAGTTGTTATGTATTTACCAGGGGTCCGGAAAATTTAAAATCCAAATCGGACATTTGCATTTAGGCCACGCCCCCTTCAAATAGCGTATTTACGTTTACGTATTCATAATATGATGAATTATTAATTGTTTCAATTTAAATTGTTTAATTCACCGGACAATTAATAACAAATAATATCATTTTAGATTTACATGGAAAACATACGTTTGTTTCTGTTATAATAACGATCTGTTAACGTAGTGAACGGTCTAATTACTATTCATGAGTTATATTCATGAGTCTGCTCAAGTGTACGCGTTGTAACATTTGGATCGAGACTATTATCCCATATTTGGTTATCACGTGACCTCATGGGAAAAGGGTTTTTTTAAACTAAAGATTTTTTTAAAAACAAGACAGATAATTTAATCACAAATACTAAAATATCGTTGATAGCAATAGTTATTTGAATACTTTTTTCATCTGTACTTAATTATTGACCATAAAAAAATTGGATATCGATCGTCCGAGAAAGCAAAATGGCGGTCAGTCAAAATTCAATATACGACTAGCTACTGAAAACAATAAAATCTGCAAATCCTCATTGTATGTCAACCAAGTGAAAGTCGTTAGCCACGACTTACAAAATGATCGTCCAGACTTTGAGGGTTTGGCAGATCCGCTCGACTGATCTGCATCTGTCGACTGGCTGTCGTCACGCTTTCGCTTCTTGTCTGAGGTTACGTATCGTAGCATTGTGAGGATAATGAGGTACAACGATGATGCAAGGTATTAATGTACAGTTGTAAACACCTTTCACTCAAATTAACAAGATGTTCTCAGTAATTAATCCTCGATTAATCAGTGTCAACTCAGTTTATTGCCTATTACAGTGATTGACCGATTGGGGTGTCTAGCCGGGAGCGCCACATTTCAGAAATGGCTATTGCCGGTAGAGCCACATTTTCAGCTGAGTGCATTTCACCTATTCTAGCGGGTAATTAATTAATCCGATTACCGATACCTTTTAATGAGTGTCCCACATTTAAATTACTAAGCGTGGTGTTCTTTAGAGATACCTTTAAATGAGTGTCTCACATTTAAATTACTAAGCGTGGTGTTCTTTAGAGATACCTTTAAATGAGTGTCCCACATTTAAATTACTAAGCGTGGTGTTCTTTAAAGATACCTTTAAATGAGTATCTCACATTTAAATTACTAAGCGTGGTGTTCTTTAGAGATCAAAGGCCATCATAATTGACATTGAGTTCATCCTGTTATTCATAACATATTTAAGTGATGTCGTGTTCACTCCATATCATAACCATGGCAAACGCACAAGTTCAAATAAAGTTCATTGAAAGTGTCACAGGAGGCATACATTTATACTATGATGGCTTTAAGTTTCGGTGTAAGAGCAGTCGTGGTGAAAGAAGATACTGGTCCTGTATTGTCAAGGAGTGCACTGCAAGGATCACAACTCTGGGTGAGTTGCTCCACGCCATTGAGATCATGGGTCACTCCCACGACCCACAACCATTCGAGTTTGAGGTTGATGCCTTTAAGGCTAGACTGATGGAGAGAGCGAGGACAGAAACGACCTCTAGTACCTTGTGACAAAGTGGATGATGTGTGGCTTGATGCCATTGCTGACTCTCCTGCTGGCCCTAAAGTGACTGCTTTCATGGACTACGTGACAACCAGTTGGGTTCAAGGACAGGCCTTCATGCCAGAGATTTGGAACCATTTCGAAAACCAAGGCTACCGTACCAACAATCACCTGGAAGGGTGGCACAACAAGATAAAGAACCTTGCCAAGAAGTGCCACCCGAACATCTACGAGGTAGTGAAGCTATTTCAGCGAGAGCAGTCACTCAAAGAGGTTGCAGTCCTGAGACTCTCTCACCAGTGGTCAGAACCTTCACGAAGAAAGAAGTTCAAGGCAATCGATGCACGTATTGCGTCCCTCAAGATCCAGCTCCTGAACCAACACCTGAGTGAGATGGAATATGCTGACCACGTGGGCGACCTCCTTCATCTGCAGTTATGATCCATTATGATATTCATATGCTATTCATATTCATCAATGTAAAGTTTTGATGAATATGTTATCCTTGTTGAATAAGAAATGAGAAAACAAGACTTGTTTTGTTATATACGGTAACCTGTTAGAATCACAAAGCATGTTTTGACAGCATAGCCGTGAGAGCCACATTATACAATCACGCAACCATAACCATTGCCGGGAGCGCCACATCAATTTGGGCTATGTATTTTCGAAATGTGGCTTTGCCGGCCTGTAACCCCGATTGGACTATCATGTAGGTACGATGTATTTACAGCAATCAAAACAAACAAAGCTTGTCAGTGTAGTTGATCTTCATTGTGTTGCAACTGCAGACAGAAACTGCTCAGTCCTAACTGTTGATCATGTCCGGTCAAAATTTAAGAATGTCCGGACAATACTTTTTAAAATGTCCGGTAAGCAATATTTTAAAACGGACATTTGAGATTCCCAATCGGACATGTCCGGCGCATATGACGGTTTCTGGACCCCTGGTATTTACACTTACATACCTATTTAATGTGGGTAATAAATAAAATACCACACTCATTCTCGTTAGATACCATTTTTACAAAACTTGGGAACTTTCCATGTTATCTTACCTCGCTTTCGCTCGGTCAGATACCATAGAAAGTCCACTTATTTCATAAAAATGGTATCTAACGAGAATGAATAGTATTCTCTATATACACAGCGTTAGAATTTGTCACTTATCTTGTCCTTGCCAAACCTCCTAGTTGATAAGGTATCATAAAGAGTTTAGGACTAGTCCAAATTTGTCCATTTTTAAGGGTTTTGCTATATGTTATCATTATACATGTTATAAGCACTAGTAGACTAAAACTTGTTGGTTTCTATCACTAATACATCATGTAAACATATGAATGAAACTGGTTCTTCAAAATAAGTTACCGGTAGTGGAAGCTGTAAATGGTTGTCGCACAGTGGGTATTCAAGCTGATAAACTAAAGAGCCCCTTGCCATGATAATAATTTTAATAATTCAATGTTGATAACGTCCGTTGAGTGAGATAGTTAAGCCAAAAACATCCAGCACCTGAATTGACATTGAACAATGGCATGGGCCAAAATGTTTCCCCATTTCTCACAAAGCATGCTTAGAGGACACAGTAAGACATCCATCAGGTCACCTGAAACAATTCAACTAATTGGCCTGGTATCCTTTGTCAAAATGCACCTTTTTTTAGTACCCAGGAAATGAGATGCAAACCCTGCTAGTGGAAAAATATGTTGAACTATCATGACTATAAGTTATTGTTTCTTTTTCAGGCCATCTTTGATTCATTACCATATTCAAAACATCCAAGTAGTGAAAAGGACAGATTAAATAAAGTAAGTATTAGTTCAAACATGAGAATAAAACAAACCTTGTAGATCGGAGTTAGAACTGGTCGTCAGCAACCCATGCTTGTTGTAAGAGGCGACTAACAGGATCGGGTGGTCAGGCTCGCTGACTTGGTTGATGCATGTCATCTTATCCCAAATGTGTAGAACGATGCGCATGATGTCAATCACTGGATTGTCTGGTCCAGACTCGATTACTTACAGACAGCCGTCATATAGCTAGAATATTGCTGAGTGCGGCGTTAAACAACAAACAATGAGAATAAAACAAATCATTCCTGATGCAAGTGTTAACTCAGATATGTTTAGTAGTATTTATCATGACTGCTGTTGAAGTTGCGCTATGCTGAACCAAGAACCTGTGTCTTGCTTTCCATCAAGTGTTAGTTTTGTATGATCTAACATCTCTTTTTCAGATTGCTGAAATGCTTCGTTCCCGATTAATTGGGTATTTAAGAGTATTACGGACAATAAAGATAACAGTACAGCATTTATACAGCTTTCATCTAAAACAAGCTATAACCCAGCGACTGGATTGTTGCAGTTTACCTTACAGGGACTTCAAGTAAGTTGTTGAAATTTGGCCAGTGTTTACAATTAGACCAGACCAAGTTGTTATAAAGTAACCCCATGTAAATAATGAGGAAAACCTGAAGTGATGCAGATCTCGGACCTTTACCACTTTGGTGAAGCCCACAATCATGGATATGGTGCTGACAAATCTAGAAACCTACTTGGGTTAGTCTGGATTCAAACTCAGGATTATGGGTTACATGTTAGTACCCTGCAAAAATGTCATTGTACTATTATGGTAATGTGATTTTTTTTAATGAAATGAATAACACATTGGTAAGTATGTCAAAAGTGTACTTTTACCTGAAAATACAGCATTAGAAATTGGCACTGGTCCTGTAGTCATTGCCAGACTGACCCCAATAGTGCCATTTTTAAGGGGTTTGCTACATGTTATCATCATAAGGACAAGTGGACTAAAAATGTTAGTTTTTACTGGTGAAATGTATAATTAATATGTTTCAAAGAATGATGGAGACTATGGACCTATACACAGGCAGCAGAATTAGATTCATATCAAACCACATGCCTTGTCATATTTGTCTTCAAGAAACATCGGACAAGGTGTTCTCCCTGCTATCATTGAAAATAAAATTAAGATGAGACCAATGGATTTATGGTCCATCAGGAAAATGATCACCTCTGTTTTATCCTTATGTTCCCAGTTAGGAATGCTAGTACATGTAATTTTAAATGTGCACTTTGTATGGATTTTACATCGAATTCAACCGATGGACATAATATTTGGTGTCTGTGCTGTATTGCTCTTGGCATTGTTCTTGAAATAGCTGTACCTGATCTTGAAGGTCAAATTCATTCTTCAAGGTCATACCCTCAATGTAGCATGTGACAGTGTGGTAAGACTTGAAATTTTAGTTCAAATCTTCCAACACAGCCTTGATGGGCTTTCATTTGAAGGTGTGGTCATTCTTGAGGTATTTCTGCTTCTTTGTGTACTGAAACAACCCTCTGCTGGTAGGACATATTTGTAAGGGCTGTCTCCCAAAACAACTACATGCAAAATAACTACACTTAGTTAAAACAACAAAGGCAAATTACCCACTGTAGTGGAATAGTCCAGGAGTAGGGATTAGATGGAGAGGAACAAGCTGAGTGAGATTAAGCTGAGAAGGATGCTAGGAGTTGGTGAATACAAACATGCATGACCATTTATTTCATATTAGAGGTTGAATGAGGTGAGTGAACAAATTAGAAGTAAGTAAAACATATTATAAAGATATTAAAGAAGCAATATGCAAGATCATTAAGATTCCAGTTGTCGCTCTTAAAAAAAAAGAATTTTTTGCGTATTAATTATATAAAAAAACACTGTTTCGTCATATCATTGATGAAACTCCACACGCATCATGTGCCTGTGTTTCAATTAAAATCTTTTTGTTATATCAAAGTTTAATTTCCTAGAATTATTTACATAAAAGTATAAATGTTTATAAAACATATCTCACATTTAACAAGTTTGTAAATGGTTACTAAAATGTTAAATTTTAAATTTGTCATCGCACTTGTTTGCAGATTAAAAAATACTAATTTTATACTCAGTTAAATTTAAGATATTTTTAGATTTGATTGTTGAAATCATTTAGCACAAATACAACGATGTAAAAATATCAGGACCAAGAACAAACAAGAACTCAATTCCTTGATGCTGTTGGATATTTACTAAACCCGGTTGACTTGTTGATCATAGTGCAAACACTTTAAAATTGATTGAATAATGATCTGATATGACATGTACATGTATGTTTTGTGATATGTTAATCATTCTAATTTAATCATTCATTCTTTTTGAACTTGTATGTTGTAAGTCAAGTCCACTTAGTGATAAAGGGAAAAGGCAAGGGAAAAGCTGCCCACGGACCATTAGCTATGTTGTTTCAGACTCAAGTGATTTTGGCATGTAGTTATTTTGGGAGGATACCTTTGTTAGAGCTAGCCTGTCATTGGCTTAAATAAAAGGGTCGAGGTTCATTAAATCGGAAGTGTATATACCTTTCAATAAGCTTTCTTTTGACAATAGCTAGAGGCATGTATTTTTCCTATGTGAAAGTTAAGTCTTTAGACTGAAAATGATGTCAAATGCTTTTAGGTTCCTCTTTATGTTAGCTAGCAGCTATTAGCCCTGTTGTTACACTGGATATAAAAAGTGTTCATTGTATCTTATATTTTCAATCTATCTCCCACCAACACACTATTCTTTACAGCAACCATGATGGGATTACTGCTGTTGACCCCTAGAAATGAACCTTAGTTGTCAGAGAATGGATACGTACTCCATAGATACCATATGATTCATAAAAAACTCCGATGTTGTTTGACTGTTGTACATTGAAATATTGTATTTGCCATCAAATTTGCAAAACGGTAGGAGGCCTGCTTGTCATGATTGCTGATTGGCTGATCTCAAATAGTGACTTGACAAACTGTTCCATACATTAAAACACCTTGTAATATACCAAAGTGCAACCCTTATGATTATTTCTGTTTTTAATATATGTAGTAAAAGCGGCATCTTAAATTATATAATATAAATTTTCATGGTAAATATCAGTTTAGATATGACTTCTTCCAATTATTGCATTATGATTCGTCTACGAAAATATACAGAACAACAAAAGTTCCTGTGACATGGAATAAGATTTAATGCAAAGTTAAGTTTTTTACCAAATCTGAAACAATTTCGGTTTGCAACAGATAAAAGACTCCTGTAAGTGTTCAAATGGTTTAATTTGCCATACTGACTTCAGAAAATGCGCGATTTCATAAAAAAAACATGAACATGCCAAAATGTCAATTTACAAATCAATAGTGTGTGTGTCCACCTCTGGTTGAGATGCAAGCAACACATCTTCGTCCTGTGGGATATCTGTCCATATCTGCTGGAGCATGTTTCAAAGTTCCTGGAGTGTCTGTGGAACACATGGTTGATGTCGAAGGCGCCGATCCATCTCATCCCACATGTGCTCGATTGGTGAGAGATCAGGAGAGCGAGCCAGCCAGGGGATGACATTCACATTGTTTTGTTGCAGAGAATCCTGAGCAAGTCGAGCAATATGAGGCTGGGCGTTGTCATGTTGAAAGGTAATGCCTGGGCCATGAAGACGCAAAAACGGTAGAACAACAGGGCCAATGATCTCGTCGCGGTAGCGCTGTCCATCAATATTTCCCTCTACCACTATCAAATGGGTCCTCTGTCTTGCTGTAATCCCACCCAATGCCATAACACTGCCGCCCCCGAACCGATCTTCCTCCATGACACAATGATTGACGTAACGTTCACCTCGACGTCGGTACACTCGAATCCGTCCATCGCTGTGGCTGAGGTGAAAGAGACTCATCAGTGAATAGAACTTGTCCCCACTGCATGGCTGTCCAGAGTAGACGCTGTCTGCACCACTGTAGACGTGCTTAACGGTGGTTTCCTGTCAAAATGGGACGTCTGGCGGGTCTTCTGGTGACAATTCCTGCACATCTGAGGCGACGACGTACGGTTTGTGAAGATATTCGTTGAAGGCCAGGGATGCTTCTTGCAGTCACTGTTGCTGGCTGGAATCGATTTCCTAGTTGTGTTGTTCGAATCCAGTATTCTTGTCGATTATTGGTTACACGTGGCCTGCCACTCCGAGGATGGTCTCTGACTGCATTTGTCTATTGCCAACGTTGCCATAAACACCAAATGGTGTTTCTGCGGACGTTAAATTGTCTTGCAACATCACGTTGACTCGATCCTGCTTCAAGCATACCAATGGCTCGCAGACGCTCATTTTTGGACAGGCGTGGCATTTCGCAATGTTGAATAATTGCGTAATTTTGTTGTTTTTCTCAGTGGTTGTTGTCAGCACGATGCTAAACAATGCATATGGAATCCCGCTAATGCACATGTTTTTATACCCATTCTTGGGTAATGAAATGCATGGGGCTTGCATAAAAGTCAACTTTTGCATGGAATGCATGCTTTTCTGTAGCAGTTGCGTTTTTGTGACTTGATTCCATACATGTACTACAATATTGAAAACCAAACTTGACTTGTTTGAAAAATACACTAAAATATTGGTGTCACAGGAACTTTTGTTGTTGAGTATATGTGTAAAGCTGATTGCTATTTCAAGCTTATGATTCCAGCTTGTGAAAATGATTAGATTAATTATTTGCAATAATCTTAAATTTTACACATGAAAAATGCCCAGCACAGTGGCTCAAACTATTGAAATTGTCTTGTAATATTTTATCACAAGTTTGTTATCTCTGGTTCATTTAGCTGGAATGATATGATATGGTTTTTACTTCAAATATTTTTTATTCTGTTTTAACTGAAAGTAGGAAAGTACAAACTGTATACTAACAGGTTGCGTCAACATTGACAGAGATGTTGCATCAGGGGGAACAAAAACTCTGAATCACTTTTCAGCTCACCTGATTTAAGTCAAGTGTGCTTATGTCATTGTGTGTCTGTCATCCAATAATCTGTCGTTAACTTTGTATTTGGGACATCTCCTCTGCAATTGCAAGGCTTATTGAGCATTTTGTATGAATGATCCAAGCTATTGTGTCGCTAAAACTTGCTGAAAACTCTTGGCTAATATTTTAGCTACCTTTTTTCAAAATGTATTGACATTTTGCATAGGTGTGGTTGCTAATGGGGTCTAACAATTATTTCCCTCTTTTGCAATATTATGCTTAAAGTGCGAATTTTGTCATGGGCAATTAAAATCAAAGTAGGTACAAAATTGGAAAACTCTGCACCAATGCACTCTCGCCTGCCAACATGTTTCATCAAATTATCTGTATATATGGAAGCAGTGGCACAAAGTATGTTTTCACAAATAGTTGGCATGGAAACCAAAGGTCAGGCATTTTAGAAGTTGAAATAACAATGAACATGATGAAGACAGAGTGGACTCATGGATTTCAACTTCTTTTTAAAAAAAATCTTCATGGAAACCAAACTTGACTTTGAAAAGAAATGGTTCGAAC